GCACAACACAAGCAGATAGGCACTTAGTGGGATATTCAGGGAAAACAGTTTAGGAGGCTACCTACGGTTGAAAGGAGAATTAGGAGCCTAACTTTTTTTTTTAAACTTCAAAGGGCACTTCTCTACATCTTCATGCACCCAAAAACATTCATTTGGGGCCAGTGCTTTCCTCTGTTATTAGCATTAATTTGGAGGGTGCAATAGAGAGTGAAAAAAATCAAACATGCAGAGAACTCATTTGGATAATAATAAAAATATATAATATGAGCATCATTAATTTTAAAAATCTTTCAAACAGCAACACAATTAGTAAATATTAATATGACATCTAGTATAAAGAAATAAAACACAGTATAAACAGGACAAAGCAATACGAGGAAACTAAAGATGACAGATACTCTGCCTGAGTAGAAACAGGTTGAACAAAGAAAGAACAAGAAGCTATAACAAATGGAGTATTAAATATGAACTCACATGATGGAGAAGGATGAAAGCTCCTTTGCCACTGAAACATGACACAGCAGAGGAGAGGAGTGTCTTCACTGAGAAAGGGTTTGCTAACCAACCTATTAGGTCAGGTCAGCCATCTCTGTACCTCTCATACAGACAGAGCAAGTTGCATAAATCCAAGTTCTATAAGTAAATGTAAGTTACATGTAAATGTATCAACCATTCATCTTCTGAAAGGCTTCTATCCTCAGGACAGCAAATTCAACTTAGTTCTGGCCACTGCTACTTCAATGAGATCCTTTGGAGATTTTTCAGAGAAAAGAAATGAGCCTAGTAGAAGTGCTGAAGAAAACACAGCTAAAAGAAGCCCCAATAACTGTTCACAGACATGAAAAGAAGAGACTGTTATCCACCATGAACAGAGCAAGAATTGCTGGTCTTAAACTGCAGCAGAGAAAATTCAGGTTAAATAACTAGAGAAACCTGAAAATGAAGTTTTGATAAAAGGATCAGCTCCTACAAAACAGTATGGGATCAGTGTCTCTGGGTACATGGAAGCTTGCATTAGTCACTGATCCTGCAGAGATCATAGGAAGGTTTCAGTCAATTCTCATTTTGCACAAGGAATGGATCTGAATGCATATCTCAGCCTCAGAGGGACTATGAATAAAGGGTAAGATACAAATGTAAGTTGTTATGCTAAAATAGCAGTTTATACAGGAATAAAACTAAAAGGAGACAATGAAATATTGGTAAAAGGAGCAGAAAGAAACAATTCCTTTTGGAGTTGGGTGAGGGAAATCTTCCATAGATAAAGAGAGAGAAAACAAAGGTGGGACTATGTACATAGGTAAGTCTCTGTGAAGAGACTTATTCTCATTCATGAGAAGAATGAAAGGAGACAAGGATGGACAGCAGGAAAGTTAATAACTTGTAGAGATTCAGCACAAACTAACTGCTCTGGCTAAAGGAAGTAGACATCTGGAATCGTGAAGCTCAGATGCTACAACTGAATGCAAATTTTAAGCCAGAATACAAGTTTCTAGATAAAACTCCAGAGAATACTTTTTAAAAATTAGTAAAGAATATATGATAAACAATATGAAAATAGTAGAAAGACTTTTAAGAAAATCTGCTGTGAAAGAACTGATGGTTCCCCAGCTGATTATTTGACAACAACATGTCATCAATGTTTATTACATACCCAGGTATTCACACTTTCCTTCACTCTGCTCCTCCTTTAAAAACCACATGCCCAGTTTATCATGAAGAGCTGTAGTGGTGGATCTTCCACTTCTCTTGCTTGCTGTCAGAGGCTTTGCTTTGCTCCTCAAGCCCTACTTTCACTGTCCTTAAAGGCACCTGCTGTGTCTCCTAACCAGGTATTCCAGCTACGTTTGCGTCTGGTCTCACACAGCAAAGGAGCATTCGGCTGCGTTACCCCTTCCAGCCTGAACCCATCTCACACCAGGGTTCCCTGCTACTTTCATTAACCAAGCATTTGTCTCAAGGGAGCTCAAGGCACAACACTATCCAATGAAAGTGGTTGAAAATCTGACCAGCTAGTTTTCCACTTGCTGATTTGATGAAACGAGGCACTTTATGGTTATGTCAGACATTTTATCAATGCTTTGAATGGTCAAATGTTTTATTCTGCACTTCTGACACAGTAGGTGCTCAATAAAATCAGCTGAAGTTTTTCAGAATATTTCATTCCACAAAACAAGCAACCAATCACCTTTTCTTAAAATCACCAGATCACAAAACACTTTGAGCTTGGACAATCTTCCTCCATATAGTAATTCCATATTTCCAGTTTTAATTCTGGGACCAGTGATAATAGTGGTTTATAGTGGAATGCCTCTTCCAAAGCAGGCAGAACTTCTCAGAAATAACATTGCTGTCTTCCAATACAAGGGGCAGTGTCAGCTGAGTGCTGCTCCTGCATCTCCTTACTGACACACAGACTAGTGTTTTCCCATAGACTTTTTATTACTGATGAAAGCTGGTGTGATATATTCTTGTTTCTCATAAATATGAAAGTGTAACTATGAAAAAAGATCAAAAGGGTTTTTCACCACAAATAATTTTTTTTGTGCCCATGCAGTTAAATAAGAAAATTAATTTGGTTTAGATATGCGTATGCTTTCTTCTTTGTGATCACTTTCCAAATTCGAGTATCAGAACACTTGCAGCAAAGGCATCCTGGAGGTAAATTAAATAATATACAGAAAAAGTAAAGTGTCAACACATTAAGGTAATTATTTATACTAAGAACCTGTTTGTGGGAATCATGTTTTCCCAAACAGTAAACAGATTCACTGCTTTTTGACTTGCATGTTTCCACATAAAACACAACTATCTGCCCAAAACTATCTGCACATGGAGTACTGCAAACCTATTTCTACCCTACCACAATTAGATTGAGAGTTATCTATTAAAATATTTAGCAAATAATTTCAAAGTATCCACCCAAGCAGGAAAGAGGCCTCAACCTAAGCCAATTATTCACAATGAATTGTATGTAATATTTCTACAGAAAGTTAATAAGGGCAGGATATTACTTCAGGATGATGGCATTGCAATTGGGACGGTTCTTTCCTTCTGCTCCACAGTCAGGTAAGAGTTCTGCTACCACAAAACCCTTTTCTCAGCTATCTACAATGGAAAAGGAGAAGTCATCGTGTAAAGTCTGGATTCCAAAACTCCTTATGACTCACCTCTAACTATACGTTTCCTAAAAATGAAAGGAATCAGCCAAATGAAATAGGAACGTTCACATTTCCAAAACCAAAGAGGAAACTTATGCTCCAAAATTTAAGCCAAGGCAAAATTCCATCAGTACAACAATGTACTAGAGCCTTGACTTCAGCACAGATTTCTGCTGCCCGCTTTGGTATCTTTTACATACTCTGTGTAAAATACTGCTCTGCATGTTGTGTGTTCACTCTAAGCTCCAAAAGCAAAGCAAGATCTGACAATAAGGAGTCATTATGTTCAAAATGACTGCCACTGACAAGTGCCCTTGGATTTTGAAGGATGTTCCAGAAAAGAGATAAAGACAGTTATGAATGTACTAGCAGAGAAAAACTGTGGATTTCAGCCAGATACATACTGGACTCCAGAGAAGTCTCTGAAGACACATTTTAGTTCTTCCAACACGCAAGAACAGCTATTTAACCACAGTAGAAATCTCCTGACTCTTCATACCCTACAGAGCTTTTCCTCCTTGATCATGTTTTCAGGCACTCCCGTTAATGTGCAAGCCTTTCCATTTCTGCTTATTACCCTTAGAATATTCACCTTGCTGAAGCAAAACACCCAACATGTCCATCACTGTACTGTGCAGAGTCACTGGGTCTCACCACAAAAGGCTATAATTTGATCACATGGACTATAGCTCTTATTTACTGTGCATGCTCCTTATTTCTTCATGTTTTTAAAATAACCAGGAAATACCTCCACAGACTGACATAGTAACAGTTGGCCTTTTTAGGTCAGTCACACTTTATGATAGGTAAATAGTGAAGACAAAGGCATTTGAATTGTCCTGAAAACCAGAAAATATTTGTGGATCACAGCAGTGAAGACCTCCTGCTATTCTATTAACTTCTGTAAGGTTATTGTCTTCCACGGTAGAAGACACCCAGTAGCATTGTCATTGCATGTACACTCCACAGGAAGCCTTAGAGACAGAAGACCTCAAAAGCATGTGGGTAAGTGGGATAAGGGATAAGTGCCCTTCACAGAGATGACATAGTGAAGCAAAAAAGAATCTCAAAAGAAGGAGGAAAGCACCAAGGTCTAGACCAGAAGAAAAAAAGTACTTTGGTTATCAAATATTGGACTCCTTCCTCATGCAAGGACTCTGACGTCCTTCTTCAGTTTGTGCATTGGGCTCTGGCAGAATTTTTCAGCTGGGGCAATGCCTTACTTCACCTGCAGTCCCACTGTGAGATGTCAAACAGCATGGCCATATTCAAAGGGAATGTGTATCAAAACCAAACCATTGCAGCTTCGTTTGTTTCTTAGGAGGCACAGCTGCTGATGATACCACAAGAATACTTTCTGAGAGAGAGGTGAGAATAAGACCCTCAAATTTTAGCTCAGTGAGATTTTTAAAGGACTGAAGGAAAGAGAATCACCAAATATATGAAGAGATACAACAAGGGTGAAGTACCTTTGTCGGAGATTTTTGTGTTATGCTTTTGTTTGTAACTATCTGAAACAGAGAAAGAAATAGAAGGTGAATCTTATGTGGAGGAAAGGAAGACAAAAGGCAGAGAAGCCAGAAAAAGAGAAGGAGAAAGAGAAAGAAAATATAAGAGATGATTTATTATAAGGCAAAGGGAAGTGGAGACTTGCCGAGGACTTAATTATATTTCCTTCATGCAAAAATACCAAGAGTAGCAGCAGCAGCAGCTGGTGGCAAACATGCAAGTCAGAGAGCAGCAGAATATTTTGCTGGAAGGGAAAAAGATGAAGCCCTGAGTGCACCGTGCTAGTAGGACCAGGCTGGAAGCAGAATCAGCTGTCTGGGTGCTACTTACTGTCACAAACATAGGGTTTGTCATGATCATCCTGGGAGGCAGCATCATTCCGTCTCCTGCCACCTCCAGATCCCCGAGCCTACAAGGACAAGAGGAATGTTAACATTATTCCATCACCACTCAGGTCTCCTTGTGCCCCTCACCCTCCTCTGAAAAATGTGCAATATAAACTAAACAAATCCTCAGCTTCCATACAGGTTTGTCAAGGGTAGGCTTGACCCTTCATCTCCTAAGATATGCACTATGTTAATGGACCTTGTAATGCAGTGGAGATCCCCTCCACAGGTAACCCAAACTGTTCATCCATAGCAGTAGGTCACTGCCAGCACATATTCAGTCGAGTATTGTCACACATTCATTTCTGAAGATGTTCAAATACCTTGCTGAACTGAATATTATTGAATTAATAGATGAACAGGTGTTAGAGGAAAAACACAACCATTAAATCAGCCAGAAAACAGGCCCCAAATAAAACAGAGGTAAAATTATTTCCTTTAATACTTTCAAAGGGGGGGTGGTGTTAGGTTTGGTCTGGTTTCTTAGCTGAAAAGCAATGTTTTGAAATGGCCTTCTGGGACAAAGATATCATGGCTAATTATAAAATGGAGCTTTGGTCAGTTAGTGGAAAAGATTAGGTAACATGGCTACCTGCAGCAAGAGAGAACAGGAGTTACCCAGAAAGGTCTCTCTGCAGTTCTGCCTTCCTACAACATACCAGGCTGGCAGCCCTGGAAACTGAGAAACTGTATCTCCATGGCACAGGCTGCTCTGTCCTGAGCTCCAGGGGTAAGAGTGGAATTCAGCATCAAAGCTTCTTGGTCCCGACCCTTCTCTGCTGAGATGCCAACAAGGGGACAGCTCATATCTGTCCAATGGTAGAGGCTGTGATGTGGAACTGGGACAAGGCCTTCAATTCTTTCATGTTCACTAATGCACAGTGTGTAGAAGACAATTTTAGACTCTATCTTTATTTGAGGAAGTGATCTGCAGGTGTATGGCTAAAGAGCCCTTTATTAATTCTGCCAGCTACTCTATTCCTGGGTAAAAGCAACAAAATTGTTCCTGCTGCTTCTCTTATTAAACTGTTGATGTTTCTCACCCTAGACAGGGCTGCCTGACTCAAATCCTTCAAGATTTTACATGTGAAAATAAGAAAGGGACAGAGCTTTGTCAAGTAAAGCTGCAGAAGATGTAGAAATTCTGAGAACTCTAGTATCCCAGACACAATGGAGTCATAGGAGCTCTGTCCCTCTTCTATGGATTTGGAACTGAACTAGCACTATTCAAGCTCCATTCCATTGGACACCTTTAGAGAAGGAAGAAGGAAGTTTTACACTGACCTACCAAAGTCTCTCAAAAAGGGGATTTATAAAAACTTCACATATTATTTCCCTGGGATTGCTCAGGTTTAACTCTTAGCACAGTCCTGAAGGAAAGACATGGATTTGCAGCTGTCTGGATGGGGTAAATACTATTAAGTATTACAAGTATAGCTCTGCCTTCTGCAAAGACCTCTGTGCAGATCAGCACACGCATGTAGAGTGAGATTTGTAAGGGTGAACTGAAAAGCAGTTTCACCCTGGAAAAGGCTCCAGCAACAACTGTTTGGTGGAAGCTGCTTTACTGACCATATCACATAAAATCATCTTACTAGTCTGCAATATTTTCTCTCTTCTCGCCAGCTCTGTAAAACCCCTCTGGGCTATGAAATCAATCCCAGGCTAGTTGCTTTCTTCCCTCTCTACTGCAAAATGTGCTGCAAGCTGAATTTCAGTCCATGGCAGCTCCTATACAACCCTCAGCTCATCAGAGAGTCTTCACAGAGACAAGTAATTGGGCCTTAATAATTATTTCTATTGGCACCTGATTTCCCTATCTAACCAGCTGCATTGGCTTTTCAGGGCTGTAAAAAAGCTGTAAAGACTTGTTTTTGTCACTAGTCGGTAGGTCTGACTCTGCTTACACCCCGAGAACGGATCTGTTGAGTAAGAAGGTACTATTTTTACATAGGCACCTTTCAGAACAGGATGGTAATTTAAGGTCTGTTGCTCGGAGTTTCGCTAGTCTTAGAGGCAGCTGGTTCCCTTCAAACCCTCCCCTCCAGAACCACGAGGGTTCAACGTTCATGTCATGACCACACGTCAGACACACTTTTTCATACACTGAACACATGGGGATTTTTCAAGTCAATGACTTTCAACGGGACTTGGGTTCCTACATGTCTTTGGTGCTTTGGAAATTGTCCCGTGGGACATGCAGCTGATGAGCAGACAATCTGTACAGGGGCAGCTACGTTCCTCTCACGTCTCCTAGCAAACTATCCTACCCAGCTCCCACCACATTCTCCCTGCCCAGCAAAGATACTAAAAAGCTCCTCCCATAAATCCATCTCTTTGGCCTTCAGTGACCTTCCTAATGCTCCCACGACTTCAGGGTTAGCCTTGAGAGGACACTGAATCGAGTGGCTGCCCCAAAGGGCACAAACTGAGTGCCCCATGCTTGCTGTCAGCACTGCAGTCTGTTGAATTCAGTCATCCACGACTGCCTTAATTCTCCTGATGGGATGCAGCAAAGACTACAGGATTTGACATGTGAGGCCTGGGAGCCATGGCACAGCAGCCTTGAAGCAGCCCTGAAGCAGGCAGAGAGAGTAGCCAGAGGGACAGATGGAGAGTCCAGGATTAAAAATAAAATCTAAAGGAAGGGACATGTGCAATTTGGAAAGTCCAGAGCAGTAATTCTGTCACATTAATCCTGTATCGATGCTGTCAGCCCTTCTCACTCCTTCTCTCAATCCCCAAAGGCCACACTCTGCAGGATCTAGTTTCCTATGCATGTCCTTCCCCTCTTCTGCCCTCTAAAAATACCCTAACTGATTCCTTCCCAGAAACAAAGTGCTGCCCAGGTTTCATGTCC